AATATACAGTATGTAAAAGTTCATTTAAAACAATCTTAAAACAGTGAGAAATTTTACTGGATTCTAAAATGTACTTTTATACAATTAGTATTAAGATTTTGGAGTAATTTACAAAGATTGACTCAAGTAAGAAATTGCGTAGAGCAGAAAAATAAAATTCAGAATTATTAAGCAAATATCGTGATTATTTTGGAAAATATNATACAGTATGTAAAAGTTCATTTAAAACAATCTTAAAACAGTGAGAAATTTTACTGGATTCTAAAATGTACTTTTATACAATTAGTATTAAGATTTTGGAGTAATTTACAAAGATTGACTCAAGTAAGAAATTGCGTAGAGCAGAAAAATAAAATTCAGAATTATTAAGCAAATATCGTGATTATTTTGGAAAATATAAATAATTTTTATCTTAAACATAGAAGCAAATCAATTATGCATCACTGAAGCTTCAGAAATTGATAGTACCAAATCTATTTCTATTATACCTTTCATCAACCTAGTTAATTTTTGTTACAATCTTCCCATACCATCCAATCCAATTTATAATTAATTTTTTTCATGTACATACACATTTGTACGAAACACGTACACAGCGTATCGAATTCTACTGAAAAATAGGGAACACACAAAAGCAAAACAGGAGGGTACTGAATAATATGAACGCAGCGAGCGAACATTAAGTTCCCTGGAAAAATAACTCGTCATCCATGTCAGTGAGTGCACGTGGTCTCGTGACTTGAGGAAGCTTCCGTGTTGGTCGAACGTGTCTGCACAGGCACGAAATGTGTGCCCCTATGATCACGATACACCCGAAACATGTCATTTATCAACACCGCGCCGTCGAAACTGTTTGTTCCGAACCGCCACCGAAAAATTACATAAGCGCATTGGAATCGAAAAATCGCGGGGTATGTCATCGATATATAAAAGGAGCCTGTGTCAGACCGAACGATTCTAGCAGCAGGAAACACAACTTTCGATCAATGATCATTTCGCACACGCAGCTACATAGGCACGCACGAGGCCGACACCAAGCTTGATATTCCGGATGAAACTATGCGTACAGAAAAGAAATCTGAAAACTAGTCATCAGCTCCGAACGATATTTTTAACAGGAGAAATGCCATCCTTGACATCGATTACGGTATCTTGTCAACGGGCGAGAATCGGGGGTTGAAGTCAGTTATGATATCGGTTTGGGTTCTTGAAACGGTGTTATGGAGAACCGAAAAAATATCATAACTGCTATAAGGTATATATCGCTTCTATAGTTATTGTTCGGTTATGCAATTCGGATATGGTTCAACTGTACGACTTCATAAGATAACAAAAACAAAGGAGTATTTATTTAAACATGTAGCTTAAATAAAGTTATATGCACGTAGTGATTATTGCAGAGCAATTTTCAGTAAGGCAGCGCATTTCCATGCTATCACCACTCCTATGCACTGTTGTAGCAATGATAATAATACTACTGTAATTGCAATCATTTGTTTATGATGTAGTTATTCATTTGTTTATGGTTAAAAAGATTCAGCGGCCGCAGCTCACGCGGTCGCAGCCGCAGCTTGTCGGGAATACATTAAAAAGATGTGATCATACGTCCATGCATTTCATCCCTAAAGGATATTTATTACGTAAAATGGAACTATAACGGAAGCACGGAAATGAGAAATAACCGATGGAAGATCTCATGAACAGAAAGCGATATAAATCAGAACCGATACATCCCTTACAATAAGTACAATACGTTCTCGGTTCTCCCTAACTGTTTTATTCAGAACCAATATGCATATAACAGTTTGAAACAGTTATTTTCCGAACCTTTACCACCCCTGTCGAGAATACAGTTTTTCGCTTCGATCGGAATGGTTTCGTCGTTCGAAGAAGAGGGTCCGTAGAGTGGTTTCGATTTGAAATGGAATCGGTACGTAAAGTCGTGTTTTCAAGTTCACAGACTACTGAACCGTCGGGTTGTTTCGCTCAGCGATCGTTACCGGTCGTAGGAGGAAAAAGGGGTAGAAGAAGCGCGTGTACAAGCGTTATCAATAGGTCGTCGCGTGCGGCGAGTGGTCAATGAATGTGGCATCGCTCACCTGAAAGTCACAGTGGATAATTTCGGCGTCATCCAGGAGTCGAATAGTGGCGCGATGCACCACCGTAACGTCGCTCTTGCTGCCAAACTTCAACATTTCTGCCCTCAAGTCGCCACCCGAATTATCCCTCCGGCCCTCATCGTCTCCTGCTCCGCAGCACCACACACTGCCCGCTGATTACACTCGATTTACGTTGCCGTTGCTTTCCCCGTCAACGATGGAGTTGTCGCAGACGCGTGGCTCTCTTGCAAATTTTCCGACGGGCTGACACTACGCACGACAGCACAGTAAAATGAACGACGAGACATCACCGTAAAGGAACTCTGAACTCTGTCAACCGGTCCCGTCCCATCCACTGGCTCGCTCGTCCGACGATGCCACGTTTACAGCGCAACGCATCGAACGCGACGTTGCCGTGCAAGGACACGGGAACACCGCGATGCGATTGGTCCCTCGCGCGCATCATGGCGGCATATATGAATCGCGAACCCTCTACGGAGCTTAATTCCAAAGAGTCAACCCAGCGGATGAATATTTCGTACTATAGACGTTATTAATTAAAATGTAACAGCGTTCATCGAATACTTTTTTCCATTCGTGAAGTGTGCAGAAAGACGTAGCAGTTCGCTCAGCTATGACCACTGGTGCTGTTTCTTCGTACTATGTTTAATATTTTAACATCATATCATAACCTACCAAAAAATTCTTCAAATCGCTGGATAATAGAACCTTGAGAGAGAAATAGAATGAATATTTTCAAGGTACAGAATACTCGAGTTTACCGTGTTTCTTGGGCCAAAGGAAAAATCAATGTACGTATGCATTAATAATAAATTTTTATTACCAGTAGAGGCAGGTACGCTCCGATGTTGAGCGAGACAGCACAGACGTGCATAGGGTACGTTAGCGTAAGAGCGGGTTGTTTTGCTATCTTGCCACCATAGACGATGATTTAGAGTGGACGGGTTGCGCAAGTGCACGGAATTCAGCGAAATAGATATCTGAAGAAAAATACAGGAAGAAATTTCTGTTTTAATTCTGTTTCTGTATCATAGATGAGAACAATAAAATCCATTTAGTTTCTGAAGATTCGCGATCCATAGTCTAAAGAAAACGCAAGTGAAACATTCTTAATTGGGCAGTAACTTTTACAGTTTACAACGGGTTCCGGTTATAAATTTAGGAAGAATAAATTGGACTTGTTAACAATGTAGTTTAAAACCACGGACGAGGTATTAGAGCAGACCAATCATACAATGTATGTTGTGTCACGTACTCGCAGGATTCCATTACCATTTCCATGTAACGTTCTGCCCTATCGATTGGGGCAAGTTTTTCACCAATTGCAATTAGGAATAGATTTAACAATCAATATACTTTTGTAACCTGATTATGTCGAGTTTTAAAATCTGATAACCATTCTCGTATCTCATCCAACGTTACCGATAATTCATAAATTTCGGGTTGTTAGTAAGAATCCAGTATTTCGTATACTTTATTTCTTCTAAGATTGCAATCGATTTATATGACGTGTATATTTGAATAATACATCTTCATTCCTTAATTTCATCTTTAGTCCTATTTTCAATATCTTCTCCTTCCTTGTTCCTTCTCTCGTCACTACTATACATTATTCTCTAATTTCGTGTTTTCATTCTTCACCCCTATCATTTAAATTGTAACCACCTAATTTTTTTCGTCATAGATGCGTAAAATCTGCAGTGTAGATATAACAATATACCTAACATCGAATATAATCTTAAAAATCTCGTTGTCATTTTCATGTCATCTGCAACATCAGTAACAAAATATTTTTATCATCCTCCGATTTCAACGATCTTGCTTGAGATTGTCATAACTTTTTCCTATACATTTTCTGTTCTTTATTTTATGCACGTGAAACATGAGCACAAAAATCGTTTCAGAAAACAGTAAGACAATTTTTAATCGCGCTTCAAAATAACCATTCGTGTTCAAAGGGTTGAATATCATCTGCAGCCTTTGCCGGGTCAGAATAGCGCGAAGAGGATAATCGTTCTTATCGACATCGAGTATCGCGGTGTAATACTGTTTCAAGGACTACACGTAGATAGCGCTCCGTAACGACCGAGAGGCATAAAAAGTGTGAAAGTCGTTTTGGTGGGGATGAAGCCGGGGCATTGAACAAAGGTTGGCTGCGTCGGTCGTGGAGCCGGCGGCGCATTCACGATTCAAACATGGCAGCGGCTACTAGCGTTGTCGTGCTCGACAGGGGCAACAATACCACCTGCACGATTAATTTACACGGTGTGTGCGCGCGTACAAATTACCGCAAACGAACAGATCTGCGAGTTCACCGTCAAACTTCTTCAGCATTCCTTTTGAAAACGTTGATCGGCAACGCAGCGACCTAGTATTTTTTTGCGCGAGCCGTTTTTATCCCGACAGGGTATATTCCACATCATCGGTTATCGTTACAGAAATATGTCAAACAAACAGTGCTAGACGACCGGCAGTCCTCGATTGTACACATCGCGATGCGTTGACAACGTGCCGCTCCCAGATCTGGTTCGCGTTTTCACAAATATTATCCGGGAGTACGAAGTGTGTGCGCGCCTTTACTCGGGAGCCTAACCTCTAGTTTTTGTGCAGTTCTACGTGCATTTGCGGTTTCGTATACAGATATATATATACGCATATATTCACGAGCTTCGAATTTTGCCGTAGATACGAGGTGTTGTTTCTGCATTATTCGCCTGTGTCCTGCGGGATTAGTTGAATTTGAATGTCATTCGAGACATCCACTCGATGTTGTTGTAAACAGGCCTCAGATTTTTAAAAAATTTTTGTCTATGAATGACAGTTACGTGACAAGCGTGCGCGACGGTAGTTACATATCGGTTGTGAATTAATGCTTAATAAAAAGTTCACTGTCATGCTCGAGAGTTATGGCAATAAGAGAGCTGGATCTTTCATACTGATGAAACTTCTTTATTTTTTTAGGGGCTACGGTGGTATCCTGGCGAGTGAATAATCAAGAACAACTGTTCGTAAGGTAAGTTTTGATATTTGTTCTAGTCATACTATAGATATTCGTCTTATGAATATTCTCTACTTACGATTACATAACAATCACTGTTTCTCGAAGAAAAGATAGGATGCACTTCTAAAAATTCGCAGTAACAGTATATTGCAAATAAAATGAAAACATTGTTAGGTTTGAATTTAAACATTCGATTTCTGAAGTAGAGGTCATTTGAAAGTCGTAATACATCATTTTAATACGAATTCTTCTAAATACATTTTCGAAAACGGGAGTTGAGTATCGAGTCATTTTGTACACATAAATATAACAAGTTAAATCATCGCAAGATCATTTTCTTTTTGTTTCGCACATATGTCATTGTGAATATTTTTAAGTCACGGGCCAATTGAACAATTTTACGTAATAAAAATCGGATACAGGAAGTTTACTTGAAATTCGATCGGCACTGTGTACCTCGCATGTACGATATTAAAAGTATTAAATTTCGCTACAGCAGAAGTTTATTTTGTAAAACAAACATCGAGAAATTGAAAAATACGGAAGTTTGCCACACGGATGCACTATACATACATACGTATATATCTACCATTAATATTATAAGCTCAATAATTTCAGTAGTTTCTTTTTGTATATTAGTTACAAATAAATTCAAGACGAAACAATGAAATAAAATAAATGGTATAAAAGCATCAAAATTGAGATTTAGTTAATACAATCGCTTTACAGCGCTATAGAGTGTTACGATAGCGGGGAGAATTTGTTGCCACAATAAAATGGTGGAATGGCCATCGGAGAAAGTGACAATATAATTGAAAACAACCGTTTCACTCGATTTACGCTTGACTTTTGTTATACATCGTAGCTTTCTTTTCAGTTTACATGCATTGGTTGAATGTGAAATTGCTTTACATTAAACGATTTAATAAATAAAGGAAGGTATCAAAGAAAAATCAAAGTCCATTGATCTCATCAAGTAAATGAGTAAATACTTTCAACCGGTGGTGCATTTTTGCAAATAATATTAAATTACGTATATTGCTTCGGATCTACATACATATAGTGTAATATCAACATTTTCCATAAATTAATCCTGCCTTTTTTGGATCCCTTCGATTCAATGCGATTTACAGTCGTTTGTCATTATCACGATTGTGTAATATTTACGTTTTACGTTTGAAAAATATTTGAGGCAAATCCTGGAAAATTAATATAAATAAAATTGTGACAGAGTTCTATGTAGCCTCAATAAAAATTTGAGATTGCATAAAGATCCACAGATAATTGTACATAAAAATCTTTACGTAGTTAAATGATTATAAAATCCAAGAAAATCTTTCCATTAAAAAATATTAACGTTACTTTTACCACACGAAATGAATGTTTCCCTCAATCCGGTCTACGACATAAAGCAATCTAGCAATCTAGTAATCCAGTTATCATTTTGCTCTCGTCATGCTACGTTCTACATCTCGCGTTCGAACAATTATGACCGAAGCACAATAGTCTATAGCGCAATTCTCAAAATAATTCTTTTCCCTATATTTCGAATAATAATTATATATAGGAAACAAAAATATATTCATTTATAAAAATGGCTTTTCAAGAAGTTACTGCTTGTGTCTATATTGTACTTTAAAAAAAAAACAGCGTTACGCTGAACTTATTAATACATAATTATAATATATATAATAAAACATTATAATTACATGAATACAAACATATACAAAGTAATCCCACCTTTATTGAGTCTGATTCGTGTTCTTCACTTCCAGCATTATATTTAACTATATTCTAGCTGTATTATGATTACAGTATAACTAAATTCTTTATTACCTCAAATTTACAAGTATACAATACATATATAAATAAACAATTATGATATATACATAAAAGGTGTATAATACAAACGTATATTCACGTAGAAGGAAGTGTAACAAGAATCGTTTTGCTCAGTTAGAATCGCGTTTTAGACCACTGTGCGAAGAGTTCTCTCTCTCTCTCTCGAGGAGATTCGTGGGTCTTCGATTTCCATCGATAGGCGCATTGTTCAAAACAGTAGTAACTATTCGGCGCAGTAATAAGAGCCAAGATATATACGCGACGAGTAAGACAAGTGTGCACACCTGCCCAAGAAAGAATCGCGTAAAAGCGCGGTGCCCGTGACGATCGTTTTAAAAGCGGCAGTCCGGGAGCAGACGTTGAAAAAACTGACGGAGCGAAGGCAAGGGCGCTCTGGACCAGTACATACCTTTTACACGAGGTTCAGGGCCCCTTGCCAGTTGCCAGTCATCGGTTCTTCCGACACTTAAAGGCGCTGTTGAGACCATCTGTCTGTCTCTTTCGCCGTTCCTCCGGATACACGCGGCGATATTCTCGCTACGGATGCCGAAATCTATTCCAACGACACGGAAAAATCATGGGAAAACTGTGACTCCAAGGATCGGTGATTGACCCTCCGAATTGCTGATGCTGGCTCCATTTTGGGTCATTGAACTGTCGAAATTCTGAATTTCTAACAACTATTTTAGTAACGGAAGTATCCAGTTATGATTTTCCAATAGTTATTTTAACACTAGAACTATCGAGTTCGGATTTTATAACATTATTTTATTTTAGCATTAGGTTTATCGAGCTCTAACAGAGTGCGGAGAAAATTCTGACCTTACATCTGTATATTTATATTCAGCTATTTTGAAAATAAGAACACTTCAATTTAATCCGCGATATATTTTACTGCAAAACTGAAGAATAAAATTTACATTGAGTGTTTAAAACTTGCTCCTTCTGCTTCAATACATTTTCGAAGCAATTTTCGAAAATTATTCATGATTGTCGCACACTCGGTAATTATGATTTCGTTCCATGCAATTTGTAAAACTAGTTTTATCTCATTCGTCAACTCGAATGATTGGGAGGAGAGATCTTCTACCTTCAATAATAATAATTTTAATCCTTCTCTTTTTACCGTTCTCTCTACCTCCTTTTTTCAGTATCCGGTAGTCATAACTAGGCTGCGAATCTTGCAGAATAACAATTTTCTGCATTGGTTGCAAGAAACAGGAACTGAATAAACCTTTATTTCTGTTTCGAATAATTTTAACAAGTTTTAAATAATATAATGGAACTAAAGAAAAGCTTCCTTCATTAATTAAACGTTGTAAAAGAGAAGTAAAAATGCTGCTTGACATTGTAAATTTCTACGTTCTCTTGCATTTAGAAAAGCTGCACATGCGATAAATGCAAAAGAATCCGCAGTCTAGTAATTGTATAATGCAGAACGCTGAAAATTAAACGAAAAATTGATTCTGTGTATTAATAAGTACAGTTTCTTAGGATAGATCAGCATAATGAATTTTTCGAATACTGGATAAGCTGGTTTCGAGTGCAGATATAAATAGTTTCGAAGTTAAATTTGTTCATCTTCGATCATAATCGTGACATTGTGCATCGTGGCGAAAACGGTGGACAAGCCGGCTTGTAATTTACTCCAATTTCCGTAGAAACGGCTATAAAAGTTACGTCGGTATGTCTGACGTGATATGGATCTCTGCATCCGTGACGCGTCACCGAAACAGGCTATTGTCATCATTAGACTGCGGATTTTATGCATTTATTGCATCCACGATCATCCGAAAATTTCTATTATTAGACCTTCAAACACATCTTACTTGATTTGAACAGAAACAGTGATAAAGTAAATGAACTTCGATTGGAAATTCTACGAATTAGTAAAAATTCATTGCATGAAGATCGTGAACAACTAAATCTCGCAATCATCTTTTATTAATCTTGTCTTAATCGTATTCTAAAAATTTTATATACGTTGCAATTAATCGATGAATCTGAACAAAAGGGGCGAGCGTCATTGAATAACATATAATTTTGAATACGTAAAAGAGATTGAATTTGTTTGATAAAGTAGGAATATGCTAACCGTCTTAGAAGCACAGGAAAAAACAGATGTTTCCCTTCTTACGATTTCACCACTGCAGGAAGTGCTCATATGGTAGTTTCATCTATGTTCAACATCTGTGTACTTTAACGCAAGAGCTGAACGGAGAAACGAAACCGTGAAATTCGAGAAGAACTTCTATGGGAAACCAGTTCGCGTCATAACGTGCGTTTCATTCAAACTGTTCAGAATTTTCTATCATTTCTTGTTTAACGCTTGAATGGCAGAACTAGAGTCCATCTGGACCCAAAGTATAAATATTTTTATTGGACCATTCAGTTTCTAACAATTTAAATTGTTACATATTTTATTAAGGTTTACTGAAAAATTAATGCTTCTGGAAGAAATACCTTAATGAATATATTGCGAAAAAAATCATGAACAAAATTATAAATGATCCTAAACATACTGAGTTGTATTTTTATCGAAAGGGTCTCCTGTTCAAAGCATGTCTACAAATTTCTATTAATTCTCCGACACCACCATCATACCATAAATATTGTATAGTGTTTAGTGATTAGTTATTAGCATTTTTTTCCGTCATTTAAATAGATTAAATTAAAATTGACACGTTCAGTCACAGTCCATATAAGTGTCTAACATGATTCGATTTTCTAAATTCCATTCAAAAATACGTCTTCTTATTTATATTTATTGATTCCACGTTCTTCTTTAATTCTTTATCCTACCACGCAACCATAAACCTCGCTTCGTCTTTATGAAGGATCACATCGTGCTTAACAATATCGAACAAATCTAACGTGTGCATGATTTCTAACAAAATGAGAACAAACAGTTTACCATCCAACAATATTAAATTACGATGAACCTTATAAATTAGCTTTTAATTTAACTTCAGAAACCCCGTCTTCATCTTTTTTTTCTATCTTGTATGTCATTGACTATCAATTTCTTTGATCATCTCCATATCCTTTCTCCATCAATACGGCGATCTCCTACTGTTAGGTTTTCCAATGAAAAAATTATTTCGCATTGAAATATTCCCATCTACACCGTGCAAACTGAATAGCGTAGAATCAGTTTCGATCGTATGAAT